TGTGACTTTATTATCTTTATTTACTAAATATTTTTAATTAATTAAATTCATACCTGATTTTTGATTTTTCAAACTTACGTTACTTTTGAATTGAGGTAAAGAATACACCTTAGATATGAATTTTTCCCAACTATAATTGTAGTTTAGAAAAACAAGATAGAAGTATCTCATAATACAAAAAATGTTAAAAAGTTAGCATATGATAATTAACTAGAGATGGCAACGGGTGGGTTCGGGGTGGGGCACCCCTGTCCCACCCCACCCGGCCACTCCCCTACCCCATCCCGCCTCGCACCCCGCCCCACCTTAGACAGGGCGGGGCGGGTTCGGGGCGAGGGCTTGTTCCGTTTATTTTTTCTTTTCAAAAACTGATAATTAACTATTTTTTGTTTTTAATTTGTAGTTAATTATTTTTTTATTCTTCACGGGGCGAGTTCGAGGCCCTTCGGTATTGGACACCCCCGCCCTGCCAACCTGTCGGGGCGGGGCAAGTTTTTTTTGACATCACTATGATTAACGTTCATTTTATAAATCAGAAAGAAAATAGAGAAAAATAATGCTGAAAAATTATTCAATGAAATTGACAGTCAATGAAGCATGTTATAAAATATCACAAGCTAGGACTTGAGATATATTTATAAGGATTCAAACTAAACATTCAGCATTTTTTTTAATATCCATCTCAGTGCACATTGGTGAATCAATTATACATATATTGCACTATAAAAAATCATTAGATAGAAAATATTTGACTCTAAGGCTGTGTTTGATTACTCCTCTTTTCCATGGAAAATGGAAAATATTTTCCATCTTCTACCCATTCACCTGTTTGATTACAAAACTTTTCCAAGGAAAACCTTTTCTTGAACCAGGCCTCACGCGCCTTCTTTCCACCTTTTAAAGGAATAGCTTTTCTTGCCTATTTGGTGAGAATTGAGTTTTCCAACTTTTATTATTATTATTATTATTTATTTTTTTTTTTAGGAATTGGAAAAAATTCTATCAACAATGGTAAAAGAATTTTTCGCTTTAATGGACTATTTTCATGCAAAACAAAGTCAAACGAATGGTATTCGGTATTGTAATTTTTTTTAAAAAAAATTTAAATTTTTTTGACAATTGGAACAAATTCTAAACCCAATGATAGAAAAAATTATCATTTTAATGGACAATTTTCATAAAAAATAAAGTCAAACGGACACCAAACTTTTAACATTTTTCAGGTGAAAATTATACCAACAAACACAATTAATTACAATTCACAGTAAAACAAATTTTAGGCAATTCAATTCCCAATAAAACATTTTTTTTTCCACCCATTTTTCACCTTTACAATCAAACGGACCCTAAATATAAGCCAACTATAATAGAGGAGAATTTTGATGTTGACATGATGCGTGTGTAAATGTTGTTGCGTATAAAATAACATTCCCTAGATAAAAAATGAGAAGTACTTTGTTCTCAATAGTAATGATTAAGAAACTTTATGGCGGTACTTAACAATCAATTGTGAACAATTTATTTTCACCCCAACTAACATAAAAGTTTGGGATGTAGATTTACTAACATTGACATAATTACTGTCTTGATGGTATAATCTGAAAATTATATTCATAATGTAAAATTTGTACAAGTAATATTGCATACTTCCCATTGGGAACACAATACAATCATCTAGTAAATGTATTCATTAGATACATATTTAAATGGTTAACATAGAGGATGGTGAGATCCTGTATATCACTCTAATTAATTTTTTTAAAAAATGGGATATAGTCTCAACTTTTTCTAGTGATGATTGATAATGAATTTTTAATGAAGAGAACAAGCATTAGAATTCATTGGATTTAATAATCTTCTAACTTTTCAATTTATATTTATTCAAACCCTCATTTCACATCATTATTGATCCAATAATGATCTTACTTATCATGTCAAACTAATTAATATTTTGAGTTACTGAACTTCTGGTTAATATAGTATTTGGTTCAATTGTATGGTTTCGAGTGCTCTTTCCCACCCCCTACTTTAAATAAAGTACTTGGACTTACAATATGTATTAATTATAAGAGAACAACCAAATGATATAAAATAAGTAAACAATTTCACGTCGAAATTATGTCATGCATAATCAATATGATTATCACTTTTTTGATTTGAAAATAATATATGAACATAGCGATCATATATCAGCATTTATAAAAAGATTAGAAATCTTTTTTCATGTGTTTTTTATGGTATGATATTTTTCGAGACATGTGCTATTCCAAAAGCACGTAAAATATTATTATTATTTGTTTTTAAGTAGTGATATTGTCATACTCTTCAAAAACAAGTAATATACTTCTAAAATATTGTGCTACTTTAGGAGCAATAGTAGATTATTATTAAAAAAATATTAAATTACATAAAGATTTACTCAAAGCAAAATTATAACAACAAATTTTATTATAGAATAAAAGATCTCATAAAATTTTGTTTTTCAAGAGCTAGTAATATTCTATTGGAATATCTACGTTAAATAAAACTTGTGTTTTATTCTAGAATATTAATATATGAAGAATTGTATTTCTTCAAGAACGATAACAAAAATATTCTCCTAAAATATTTATATTATAATATTGTGCTTTTCCATGAACACAACACACTAATTTTCAAGAATACGAATATATGTTATTTAATGCTTCTTCAGGAGTACTGCGACGTTCTTACGGAATAATGATATATAAAAAAGTTATGTTTCTTTTAGAACATAATATTCTTCAAAAATATTTATATAACCTGGGTTGTATTGCTTTCAGAAACGTCAACTTTATATTCTTCTAGAATCATGCTTTTTAAGGAGTATAAATATCATTAAATAATTATATAAATAATCTTACACGATTTGATAATATATGATAAAAAAATTAAATAAATAAACCTACTTGTAGTAGAAATAAAACAATTAAATTGAATTATTTTTCAGATTTGATAGATATTTTCAATTATGGACTTTATTGTTTCTTGTGTGGAAGACTAATTCACGTTTTCATATTTCTTTGAACAGAAATACAATAAAAAAAAAAACTAGAATTCTGTTGAATATAAAATAAGATTCACTTTTGATAATTCAATTGACTAGAAATTTGTGTTTAAAAAGAGTTATAAACGAAAGAGAAGAAAAAAAATAGAGAAGTCAATAGATTTGTCTGTATATTTTGTTGAAAATTAAGGTCCCATATATTATTGATTGCAATTCATTCTACATTGTCATTCATAAATACTTCATTATTTATAACAATTCAAATTTTGTTTTTTTGTTTTTTTTTTCCTTTTCTTATTTCAAGTCAAAATTTTGAATTAAATTCATTTCTTATTAAAATAAGTTAATTTTGACAAAATATTATTGTTATATAATCACTTTAGACATGATCATGTAATGAATTTTACCTATGATCAACTCGAGTTATAATGTCCCCAAGTTTGTATTCACTCTCTTATGTAATGGTTCTTCCTCACCTTAGGACATAAATAAAATCACCTCTCCAAACCTACATATCCCGAGGTATTGTATTCTACCCTTCTCATAATTGTATGATCCCGACAAAAGGGATGATCGAGTACATGTCTCCTTGAGACCTCATATCTCGGGGAGCATACCAAGTCTCTACTAAAATTCTATGCCCCAACTCTCAACCAACCGAAGGGTGGTCGTGTATGAGTGATCATACGCTTTTATAAGGTATTTCATCATCCTCATTTAAAGAAAGTTAAATCCTTCCACAATTAGGCTATTTGCACAATAATGAAGTTGTAGAAGGAGAGCACTGATAATTATATTTTATACACTAATTCGAGGGCCTCAAATATCGATATTTGGTAATTTTTTTGACAAAATATATCTTAAATTGTTGAATTTTATGTTATATATATAAAACTCAATGGTTGAACGAGTAATTGGAAGAAACAAAATAAAATCAAGAAAAAATAGCGAAGTCCAAAGTTTGAGGACCAAATTGTAAATGTTCAATAGTTGATTCGGACCACAAGACAATATTTTAAAGATTGTAAGGAGACAAATGGATGGAATTAGAACTCAAAAATGAATGAATATTATCAAAATATTATCAAAATTGATTTTCAATCGCACAAGTTATATTTCAGATTTTTAGTTGAAAATTTAGATCCATTTTTGGCATAGTAAATGTCCTGATTGTAAAAATTCTATTGCTATAAAAGTTGTAACCCGTTGAGTTATCGTTCAAACTCACTTTAAATTGCTTTAATCGGATATCAGGAAAGAAAGTTATGATCAAAATATTAACTGCTGTGCAGAGACGAAAAATCCGTACGCGAAGACAATTTTTCTTATTCGATTGAAACTCTTTTGAAAACCAATTTGGACGTGATTTT